GTAAACAAATACCCTACCCTTAATAAATTAGTAATTATAAAGAGATTTTTTATTAATAAATTTGATTTAAAAATTAAGAAAAAAATGATTTATATTACAAAAACAAAATTCAGAATTTGTTAATGCAGGCATCAGATGTATTATAATCTTTAAGTAGTTATAAAGCTTATTAAGATGAATCTAATGGTGGTTAAATCATCGAAATCGGCCTAGTAAATGTTGAGATATCTTTAAAAAATATTCGCTGACTATATTAAATTCTTTGTAAAACAATACAGAAAATTTTTTATAGTTGGTAAACCATTTTTAAAAATATCTCAGCACCCACTGAGCTACTTTAGTACTCAGCTATGGCAAAAAAATTGGCAGTTCATATATATAGATCATATTTGGCAGATTTCTATTAGATGTTGTTCAGATAATCTTAATTAACAAAGATAGAATATTTGATAATCTTTTTTTTAAAAAAACTTCTTTATTAATATTAAATATATATATTTTTATAATACTGTAATATAATAATCTCAATATATTTTATTATTAATAATTTTTTTTTTAAAAAATTCTTTATTAATGTTAAATATATATATTTTATAATACTGTAATATATATAGTAATCTTAATACATCTTTTTCTACAAGTCTATATTTAATTAATGCAACCTATTACTTAATGCAACCAAAATGCAAGCTTCCCATTCAATATCCAAGTATTTTGTTGATTGTGAACTTATAAAACTTCTTCATATTTATTTATTTTATTTATAAACGGTGCTACCAAAGCATTAAAATTATTTTTAAAATTATAATTATCTATTTTCTGATTATACAAGTCTAATGCAATATCAAAATTTTGTTTATAATATTTTTTTTTTTTTATTATATTATAATTAGTATCTTTAACCAAATTCCACAAGTTACTTAAATGACTTAAATAGAAACTTGAATTATCTTGCTTAGCATAATTAATTGTCATACTAAGTTGAATCTAGAGGTTATTTGTTAAAGCAATAGATTAAATTTTGTCTTTACCAAAGGCAAATAATAAATAATCATTTCTTTTGTTGTTTTCAAAAATACAGATAGAAATTAATTTTTATTTATTTTATTAACAAATGCTTATATAGATAATAGCAGTTGTATAAATAAGCTAGGCAAAAACATATCTACTTATTTGTATTGATTTCATAATTATTATAAGCAATTAATAAAATATTTGTTGCTGCTACTTTATCTTATTCCATTTTAAATTTACACCACTATGATAGAAATGTTCGAATTCTATTATACAAAGCTAGTTTAATTTTAGAGTAAAAAATTAGCTGCTCTGTTATAATTTAGATAAGCCAATTTTTATATGGACAATTGTAATTATTTTTGTATTTGTATTTGAGGACTCTCCAATAGCTTTCCATTATTATTATAGTATATGCAAAAGGTATAGCAGATAAATATGAAGATCGAACAAATAATTTCAATCTTTTTATTATACTATTTTATCTATAAAATACTCCATAATCTAACTAGATTATTTAAATGACAAAACTAATACAATTTTGAATGTATAGCTGGTAAATATCTTTTGAACTAATATAAGTATTGAAATAAGCAGATGTATATTTATATATTTTAAACTATTTTCAGAAATTACTTAGTATATTTATCTGAACAAATAGAACCTATTCTATCTTAAATCTATGAAGAGTTGATAAATTCAAATTTGCGATAAGCCTCTAATGCTTTGACTGCTGAATATGTACTTGATTGATATTTTTTATCTTTAATTTTTCTATCAATAGCATGCTCAAGATGCTAATAGCAAAGTTAAATATTGAATCTTAATGACCAAGCCTCTTCAACTAAACTATTTTGCCTATATTCTTGTTTGTTAAAATAAACACTAGTTATAACCCTGTTGTCAAAAACTAGTAAAAAATATTTGTAATACTTCAATCTGTATTTTTACAAGATTATATAGACTGTTTCAAGCTTCTTTACTACTATCTAATGTAGAAAAATACAGATATGTTATTGGTATACTATATCTATTGAAGTTAAAATTTTATTGTAAAAAGTTCAAATTGTTCTTGGTTTGTTTTAAATGTGAAGTTTATAACAATTTCAGTTGCATTTTTAGCATCAATGTGTTGAAGTAAAGAAGTTAAAAATTTTAGAACTTGTACAAGATCATTTTCCAGATAATTAAGAACTTTGAACCCTCTTTTTTTAAGTTCAGATTGTTTAAGATACTGCTTTGCTGATACAAGTAAATTATTTGGTTTGTTATATAAGTTTTTTTACTATACTCTAATACCCAATAATATACTTGCTCAGCTATATAAATTTCTGAATTTATAAGTTTATTTTTGCAAAGCCTCTGATAAACTTCTTTACTTCTTAAATTGTATAGTAAGACATTATTTTTAATTTATTCTTTTGCCTCAATAGGAAACTTTACTTGATGATATTTTGGTTTTTCATATACCACTTGATGACTTTTCTAGATAATAATATACTGTTTCTCTATAATCATAGTAGTTCTAATATTTTCTGCATATTCATATCTTTCAATAGGAGCTCAGACTTCACTCTGTCTTTTAAGTAGCTGGTTATTTGGTCTTTTCTAAGCTTGATTATTCCATATTGTACAACCAAGATATGCTGTAGCTGAACTAGTAAATTATTTATTTTACTGTTTAAATATATTTTTGAATTTTCTAATAATAATCAGATTCAGATTCAAGTAGTATAGTAAGTAGAGATGCAAGGTGCCCAAACTGCATTTTAATTGCTTTTAAATCAGTTATATTGGCTAAACTTTGTTAATCTAAAGAAATTCAGAAAAAAGATCATGACTTAATTTGACTTCAAGGGCAAAATTTACAGGATTATCAAATTTTTCAGTTTCTTTAAATTTTTTAGTGATGATTTTATGCATTTCATCCAAGTCATACATCAATACCTCTAAATTATTATAACTTTGGACGTTATGCTCACTTTTATTATAGATACTGTTACTAGAATCATTAGGGATAATTGTGTTAAAATCATTTAAGATATTGTTACCAAAATTGGCTGTAGTAATATTAGAAACTTTAGGAGCAATAGTAGCAGAATTGTTAAATATAGCACTACTAAAATTATCAGAAGATGTTGGAGTTATTCTGGATGACTACATCAAAATTAGTCGAGGTAGTTATGCCAGGATCATTAAAGACAACATTGCTGATTTAAACTGCTTCTTTGTTTGCTTTTTTTTATACTGCTAAATTTTCTTGCCATTTACTTTTCTTCTTTTCAGCATATTGGTTGTATGTGTCATTATCTTTGTATGTATTATTATCTCCAGAAGCATAATAGAAGTTATCAATTGTCTTGTTGCAATAGCAATGATTGCACATCTTCTTAGCAAGTTCTTGAGTATGTTCGCTCATTTTTGCACTTTATTATAATGTAATTGTTTAATTTACGAATTTGAAGAATATAATCGAATCAAAGATTTGAGACATGATAATTTTACAAAAATAAAACAAAAAAACAAGTGAAAATAATTGTTTAGATGATGTATTTTGAATTTTTATTATAGTCAAAACAATACACTTTATATACATATTTCAATCTATATTTTATATTTTTTCTTGATACATTCTATTCAAACATAATACTATTCATAATAACTATATAAGTCACTCAATTACACTTCCAATATTTAACAATTTGGCTTGCTTATTTCTTATTTCCAAATTTGACTTTGAAATATTGCGATCGAATAAATAATTAAAGAATTTGGCTGATTAGTAATACCAATAAATATGAATTGAAAAGAAAAATATTTTATTAGATAATACACACTAACTAAATATAGATCAAAAACAGTAAAGCAGTAAAATCTTATTTGATATATAGATATAAACCTCAGATATGATTATGCATATAGCTAAATTAAATTGAAATACAAGCATTGTGTAATTGTCTAAAGTTATTGTTATAGAAGTTTTAATTAAGTAAAAGCTACAATGAAGATTTTATTACTTTAACAATGTTTTGGCGCCTCTTGAATAAAATAGATAAGATGAGATACTTTTATTCACATTGTTGGAAATTTAATATTAGATAGATTTAAGGTTAATTTCAAAATCTACTTTTCAGAAATACTGTTTCATTGAATCTGGAAAAAAAGCATTTGGTAAAAACTTCTATTACTGTCAGAAATGTTTCATCAGAAAATGAAGTTAAGGTCAGACCAATTAATTCAGTGATTTACATTACCCTCCTTCTTCTGCCTTCTCCCATTTTCCTTCCTTACTATATATGCGAAAAATTTTGGAAAACTTTTATAGTATCGCTGATTATTTCAGAGAAAATTTTTATAATAAACTCTCTTTAGTTCCCCCTTCTCTTCTCTTTTGTGAGAAGGATGTAATATAAACTACCGAATTAATTTGGTCTGGCCTAACAGTATTATGGGATCAAGAAATAATATGAAATTAAACTATCTACACCCACTAAACCAATTATAATGTTTTTTTTTAATTCTACAGTTCAGTAGAATTAAAATAAAAAATTTTTATTAAAATTAAACAAGTAGGTGCCAAGATATTTTTGTTCAAAATTTCTAAAAATTTCAGAAGTATTAGGTGCTGTAGCAAAATTTTTTTAAATTTTGATCAAAGATATCTTAGCACCTGCCTGTTCAATTTTGATAAAAACCTTTTATTTAATTCTACAGAATGGTAGAATTAAAAGAAAAAAAATTTATTGAAATTTGTTAGATGAGTACTAATATATTTTTAAACAAAGTTACTAAATTTTAAGAATATTAAATCGAAGCTACAGGAAACTTTTTTTAACTTTGATCGAAGATACCTTGGCATCCACCAGATCAATTTTCAATAAAATTTTTTATTTAATTCTACAGAACTATAGAATTAAAAGAAAAAAGTTTTATCGCAATTTGGCAGTGAGTGCCAATATATCTTCGAGCAAAGTTTCTGTATTTTAAAAATGTTAGATTGAAGCCACAGCAAAATATTTTTACTTTGATTAAAGATACCTTGGTATCCACCAGACTAATTTTTAATAAAAATATTTTTATTTAATTCTGCAGAACTGTAGAATTAAAGAAAAAGTTTTAACAAAATTTGGCAGGGTGTCAATATATCTTCGAGCGAACTTTTTGAATTTTAAAAATATTAGATCGAAACCGTAACAAACTTTTTTAAACTTTGATCGAAGATACCTTGGCATTCACTTAACCAATTTTCGATAAAAATATTTTTATCTAATTCTACAGAACTGTATAATTAAAATAATTTTTTTTATTGAAACTGGTTAGGTGGATGCCAATATATCTTCGATCAAAATCTAAAAATTTAAAGTTTTTTAAAGTATATTGGTACCAACTTGACCAATTCGATAAATATATTTTTATTTAATTCTAAAGAACTGTAGAATTAAAAAAAAAAAAATTTATTGAAATTGGTCATGCAGGTACCAATATATCTTCAGCAAAGTTTCTGAATTTTAAGAATGTTTTGTAGCAAACTTTTTTCAATTTTGATCAAAGATACTTTGGCATCCACTTGACCAATTTCGATAAAAAATATTTTTATTTAATTTTATAGAACTGTAAAATTAAAAGAAAAAAAACTTTATAAAATTGGTTAGGTGGATATCAAGATATCTTCAAAGTTTATGAAAATTTTAATGTTAAAAGCCACAGCAAAATTTCAAAACTTTAAAAATATTTTGGCACCCACCTGACCAATTTAAAAAAAAATTTGTTAAATTCTACAGACTGCTTAATTAAAATAAAAAAAAATTATTGAAATAGGTTGGATGGGTGCCAAGATATTTTTGATCAAAGTTTCTGTAAAATTTGAAAATATGATTGATATCCAATAAAAATCTGCCAAATGTGATCTACAGTACGTGATCTACCAAGTTTTTTCATCATGGCTAGGGTACTAGTATAGTGCTGCATATAGTACCCCTAGAATAGTATCTCTTAATTTTTTGACAAGTGTTTGTGGCCCGATTTCATAATCAAAAGCACAATCATTTTATTTAGTTTGATACATCTAATAGCAAGGCCAGTAACAATTATCTGTATTATCCTCTCATCTCTCAATATTTGAGGTATTATTCAATCTAGGCCAGCTTTTTTGAATAGTACCTGGATACTATATGCAGCACTATATAGTATTCATAAAATAATTCTGCTATTTAATGGATATTAACGAATCAGTGTATTTTATAGATTAATAATAACTATATGGCTGAAAGCCACATGATTTTACTATTAACCTAAAAAAAAGCTACAGACACAGCAACACATGATTTATCTCCCTTATTGACACAGCAATGATTGATATAAGTACCCAGATTTTGACCAATTAAATTATAGAATTCTTTGCAAAAAAAACTTTAAGAGAAGATATTACCACAGTCACTAAGCCAAATTCAATAAACTTTTTTATTTAAATTCCACATATCTATAGCATTCAAAAAAAAAATACTAATTGAATTTTACTTGAGATATCTTTGATAAAAATTTGACAAAATTCAAAATGTCTATCAAATGGAAGCTGTGCCAAACTTTTCAAACTTTGAATGAAAATATCTTGGCAATCACAAAGCTGAATACAATAAACATTATTTATTTAGATTTTATAGTTTGTATAATTAAAATAAAAAAAATTATCGAATTAGATGTTCTATAGAAAAGGTGAGCAATATAAAAAAAAAGCTTTGCTAATGATTAGTAATCATTAATTTTTTAATATCAGAGTTGCAGATTTGGCAGAGTTTGCCCACCTATTTTATAGAACATTCATCAAATTAGCTTGGTAGTTATTAAGATTTCTTCATTTAAATTTTGAAAAAAAGTTTGGTGCAGCTTCCGTTTTGATAGACATTTTGAATTTTGTTAGCCTTTAACCAAAGATATTGTGACAACCACACAAGTCAACTTTGATAAACTTCTTTTTATTGAATCTATAGAATTAAAATTAAAAAAAATGCATCAAATTTGTTAGTTATCAAAATAGCTTTGCTCAAAGTTTGAGAAATTCAAAAACATTTATCAAAATAAAAACTGTGCCAAACTTTTTTCAAAATTTGGATAAAGATATTGACAACCACTAAGCTAAATTCAATAAGCTTTTTTATTTGGATTCTACAGATTTGTAAAATCTAAATAAAAAAGTTAATAAATTTAGCTTGGCACCATCAGAATATCTTTGTTCAAATTTTGAACAAAAGAAAAAGTATACCGAATTAGCTTAGAGACTGTTGAGATATCTTTGCTCAAGTTTGTCTTTCACAAAAGTATTTTATAATTTGATTGGTCAAAATCTGAGGTACTCATATCGATCATTGCTGTGTCGATAAGGGAGATAAATTACGTGTTGCTGTTTCTGTAGCTTTTCCCTAATCTAGTGAAAATTCTACAGACAGAGTTTAGGGACAGAGCAAGATCATGTACTATTATAAAACCTGCTCTGTCCCTAACCATTAATTAACTAATCATATGATTCTGCTCTGTCCCTAAGCTCTGTCTATAGAATATTCATTAACCTAGAAGAAATATAATGACACAGCATACACATGATTTAACTATGTTATCAGCACAGCAAATGATCAATATGTGTATATACTGTTGACTACTGCTTACAGTACCCAGGGTCTTATTCAAGAACTTCATTTTTAAAATTGAATAGTACCAGATACTATTCATGAACCCAGCAATGCCATTAGTAGAGAAGGGATACTTTATATATAGGATACTATTTTGGAGGATACTGTAGGCTAGAGAGCAAATCAATGATTTTGAAATTACTGCAAGGCTGTGCAGGCTGCACAGCCTGCATACCCTGATCCATCTAGGAATCTAGTATTCATGATTACATATATATATAAAACATCTACTTCATATATATAAAGTTAGGCATTCATTATTTTTTATTAGTGCTTTAAGGTCAGTTTAAACATCAGTTTTTAAGCTTTGCATTTTTTTTACTTGTAGCTTCTTCAAAACTTTTAGCAAAGTTTTCTTGACAACTATCTGATAAATTTTGATAAAAATTTTTTATCCAAATTCTACTAGGTTGTAGAATTCAAAAAAAAAAGATTACATAGAAAAAAATTTCAAACCTTTTTTAAATCTTTAAATGAAGAACCACCTGATAAATTTTGATAAAAATTTTTTATTTAAATTCAAATTTGTAAAATTCAAACAAAAAAATTTTCATCAAAATTGATCAGGTGGTTGTTAGAAAATTTTGGCAGGACTTCTTTATACTGATTTTTTTTTAAATCTTTAAGCGAAGTTTTTTCACTAACCATCTAATTAATTTCAAAGAATTCATTTTATTCAGATTCTATAAGTTTGTAGTATTCAAATAAAAATTTTAATCAAAATTAATTAGATAGT